ATAAGGTAAAAATAATAAAACAAGGTCTTTGTCTGCAATGATTMGACATGTTTTTTATTATTGTCATTAGTGATTATCTCAATTTCGGCTAAAAGAATTGACAAAATACTACACACTGTGCCTTTAAGGATTTTTTGATACTAGTTATAGTTTTCCAGCAGTGACTATTTGAGGCTGAAGTCTTCCTCCAAATGTCCCTTTAAGAGTGTCGTCAGTGAGTGAAATACACATTTTTTTAAATCTAGGTTTTCTTTACGCTTCCTGTTCATACATCAAAATATCAGCATTTAGTCATTTGAGATTATTGCAAATGTAAGCTCCAAATTACTAAAGAGATTTATAAGAAAGTTGATCCATGTTGGAATTAAGTAGATGTTTAAATTTTATTTAGAACCTTATTCTTCATCCTATTATTTCAAAAGAAGTAAGATCACTTTTAAGTCAATTCATATATAACTGAACATAAACAAAATGATGCTAAGAAATTGTGGAACTATTTGTCATTTGTTGAGCCAAAACTGGCTGCAATATTCTAAAACTGAATTTTACAAAACAGCAAGGCTCTTGTAAATATGATAACAATGTAGTAAATCTGACCTTGTATAAAAAATTAAAGGACTTCACACAATAATGGTTTAAATGCTTCACTTATTTAAATAACCTAATTCAAAGTGACAAGTGCTCACTATAATCAATTATTTCAGATAGGGTTGAAACATTTCCTGTGTTTAAAGACAGGATGCCAAATGACCCAAATTTTAAGGATGTTCACTCCAACCAAGGTCACCCGCACCCATCCATCCCCCTCAACTTCCACCCTCCTGCTCCAAACAGATAAGACGGTTGAGCCTCGAGAGCCCGTGAGACTCGGGATCGATTTCATTTTTGTCTTCCTTTGAAAAACCTTTATTTAATCAAGCAGGTCAGCTGGACATGACACATCCTGTGACTATGCTCGCTGACAGAAGTGCTATCTGATGGAGGACGGGTCACGGATGGTGGGGGTGGAGGAATGAGTTATTATGAAGAAGGATGAGGCTTGAGGTCCAGGAAATTTAATTCAGGCGCTCTAGCTGCAGGGGTGCAATACGATTTACATGGCTGAAAGACAGCATAGCAACACAAGCTGCTGTTGTCAGAACCAGGGGCCTTTTTTGATGGAAAACGCTTTGATTAAAAATAAATAAATAAAAAGAATCATGTGAGCTTGATACAGTCTGGCCAAATAAAATCTTAAATTTGCCAAAACATAGCAGCAACAAACGACTACCGCAGGTGTGATACAATGATTTGTTGGGCTCAAATTTTCAAAACCTAAAATTCAAAAAGGATGCGACATTTACATACACAACTTATCCATTAAAGTGGCCGAAGATGAACATTTCACCCTGCAGTCTGACTCTCCCATTATTTAAAATGCAGTAGGGAGTTCTGAGAAAACTGTGGACTTTGCCTGAATATTTGAAGAAGCAACACCTTACAGGTCCCGCCCCCCTCTCTCTGCTGTGTTATAGCCCACCTTCCACAGCTCCTCCCCCACAGTGCAGGGAGGGTCACTGATGACAGATAAACAGTCATGATTCATTTAAAAGTTTCTGCTTCATCCAAAAAAAAAAAAAAAAAGCTGGAAAAAAAAAGTTTCTGCTTTATTTTTTCAGATTATCTGTCTCATATTATACTGTGTGGACATAGTGAGAGTTTTAACAAATATGTTACAAAAAAACATTTTTACAAAAGTTATCTACTGCTGCTTTAATGTCAGGCCCCTCGAGCTCATTTCTGCTCTTTACAGATGTTATAGTTCTGTTGACATCTTCAGACTGAAGACAATGTATTGTTTGTTACTGATTTTAATGCACTACTGTTTTTTCCTTTGAAAACTAGGATGTGTTTTAATAACCTTTTTTGTTTGATTAAACTCTGATTTAGTTGATGTGCAATTTGTTTTGAGTGCCTTATGTCATGGTCAGCTCAAACAGAATGAACTTTACTCAGTATGATTAGTTAAGACACGCCACTCACCACAACATCCCAGCACATTTCCCCCCTCTCGGAGGACACTTTTCCTGCTCTCCTGCCCTTCCTTATCTTTCCCTGCTTTTCTGC